CCTGTTCATGGGCTCAGGGCTGAGTGGGAGGCAACGGCTGACCCGCAAGGCCTCATTTGTCTTCCTTTAGCACTGGGCTCATACTCTCACCTCTCTCCCTTCTCCCACGCCTGTGTTTCTCCCCTGGTCCAGAGCCAAAAGGCCCCTGGCTACCTGGGTGGGCGCTGCCTCTGCCTCCCGCAGCAATTTCCAGAGACCTGCCCAAGGGAAGGAAATGAGGGAGGAGAGGCTGAGCCCCAGGATCACTCCCTCTCTTACAGCCACGAAGGAGTCCTGTGAGGCAAACTCTAAAGGATTCTAGGTTAGCCGTGCAGTACACTCGTTTCCTCCTTAGCACTGCTCTCCATCCCATTTCTTAATTTCCCATAGTCCTTCAGCTGCAGGGAGCACTTTCTTTCAATCGTTTTTCCCCAGAAGCTCAAGTAGTGTTAGGCCTTCATTAAGTATGGATTGAATTTAAGGGGACTTACATAACTACTTTTATCAGCCCCTGACACCCCGATCTTATGTCACTTTTTCCCCTCTCTCACTGGACAATCCATATTCTGCCTCCACAGTTAGGTGTGCATGTTTTATCTTCCTTAAATCAGCTGTCAACTCCTACAGAGGCACAGAATTTACCTTGTTCGCCCTTGCCACCCTCAAAGCCCTTAACACACTGCCTGCCTGACACAGAATAAGAATTCAGTTAGCATGGGCTGGCTGGCTGGCAGCTGGCTGGGTGAATGGCTGTTTGGCTGACTGAATGAAGGTTTTCTCGGAAAGCTGGAGCTCTCCTTTCAACTAAGAAGCCAGGTTCAGTCTTTCCACCACCATTAATGATCACACAGCAGTGAGTCACATTATTATCAGAAGAATGAGGGAGGGCAGAAACATCTCCGCTTGTGCAAGGGTCAGAGCCTTGATGCTGGGGCATAAACACAATGACCTTCACTATCCCCTAGGTCTATGGCTCATCTAAATTACTTTATGATGGAAGGCAACGGGGTGAGCTGAAAGATGTTTGACTTGGACCCAGACTCAGGAAAATTTCTAGGAAACTATTTAGAGCAAAGCTTTTCTTGCTAAACCAGACAAAGGGAACAATTGCTCTTTGTCAGGTCTGTCTTGGTTGTCCTAGCTGAGAATGAATTTGTAACTCCTTCCATTGAATCTTCCCAAATTAACAAAGGTAGGCCAGCTTCATTCTAAGGTGAAGGGAATCTCTGTGCTCTATTTCCCTCAAAGGTCCTTATATTCCAGTGGCAGACAGGGACAGGAAGGCAGCAGGAATTTGAAGAGCAACAGGCCCTCATACGCCTTTGGAGACCAGAATCCCGGACCTACATTGCTGTGGGAAGAGTTTCCAAGCTTGTGTTCAGACTCTGACACTCTGTGACTTGAAGGATTTTACCTACCTCCCTGGGCCTCCTGTAGACGGTCTGTTTCACCGGGATACGTGGAGGATGCAGTGAAATCGGTGTATCTGAAAGTGCTCTGGCTGCAAGTTGTGGGTTATCGGAGCTTGTACCAGGTTGCTGTCTACTCAGCACAGCAGAGTCAGCAAGGCAACCCCGTCTTCCAACCTCCCGTGGCCCCCAGTCAGGGGCTCTGGGGTTCCTGGTGCCAGACCAGAGACATGACCTCTTGCTAAGCTTCCGTCCAGAGAGCCCTTTCTCCACCCTTATTCCTGCCTGCTGCCATTCCCACTAAATGGGCTTGGATGCTGGGGTTCTAGCCTCTGCACCAAAAAAGGCCCACTTCAGAAGTGCAAGGGCAGTGTCTGATATAACAGGCTTTTATGTGCTGAGGCCCTCTAGGTCCAGGGGCTGGTTAAGCTGAATTTGGTAGGGCCCCATTACTATCAGCATTGCCACAGTTAATACCCTTTTGAATCAGGTTCTGTTAATTCCCAGTGAGGTTTGAACATGGCCAAATCATTGGCTTCCCAAACTCCCAAACCTCCAGAATTAAAGGAATTGGAACTGAGGTGTTGTGTTTTATTCAAATGGGAGCCTGGCATCCCCCTGGTAGGACTGCTAGTTGAGCTCAGGCTGGCCAGCTTGGGGACTTCTGGCAGGCTCTTCCTATTGGCTGTGAATATTGTCAGATCAGCAGGGTCCTATTTGAGGAGGTAGGAGACTGGGACACTAATACAAGCTGTGTGGCCCTGGGAAAATATCTTTACTTTGGGCCTTAGTTTCCCCATCTGCCAAATGAAGATGATCAGATCTATTTCACCTTCTTCATAATGGTGGTTCAAAGAACCAAAGGAATAAACACTTTATTTAGTAAATAACTTATAAAACAATTGTAAAAAGGGAGGAACCCTGGGTAAGATGAAGAGGTTAGAGTTTCTTTGGGTAATAGGGCTGTCATGCTTTCTAATTGTTTCCAGTAAATTCCAGAATTTTCTCTCCACCCTGTGTGCCAGCATCCACCCTTCCTTCCCCTTAGCCAATTCCCTCCAATCAGACCTGCCCTGTCTGGGCCCCTTTTAATCAATAAAACAGTTATTCAATCAACAAGTGTTTATTGATCACCTATTGTGTGCTCAGCACTGTTACAGATAGTCTGGGGGATACAGAGAGTTCTAAGATATGGCCCCCTGCCCTCCAAGAGTTTACAATATACTTGTGAGATCAGACACATGCACAAGAAAGATAACTATAAATCAAAACTTGTGAATGATAAGCATCGAGAAGCAATTTATACATTGAGGGCTGGATGAAGGGGTAGGAGAGAAACAGAGTGGTCAGAGAAGGCTCAATGAAGAAGGTGGTGCTGAGCAAGTTCTCCAAGCATGGGGCAAGGGATCTTGGCTAAGAGAAGAGGGCCTTCCAGGTTGGGAGAACAGCTTGAACAGAGGCAAGAAGGTGGAAATGTGAAAGGTGTGTTAGAAACAATGAATGGGCCCCTTCTACTGGGGCTGAGGTTTAGGATGGTGTACTGGAGTTTTTCAGGAAGTGGTCATGCTTAGGTTGGTGAGGGAAAATGTCTTTGGTTAATAACCCCCACTCCTAGTCCAGGGAAATGGAGAATTTTCAGACCTTGGAGGTGGAATTCTCTGCCTGGGAACCATTCTCTACTCTCCCCCCCTCAACTGCAATCCCAGGCAGCAGCTCAGCTATCACTCAGGTTGTGAACACAGCACTTGTGGCATGGATGTGCCACGCTGGAGCCCTCGAATGCCCTCCAACAACTCTGGAATATCTTCTGATGAATGGTAGGGAAGATACGACGGGTTGACAAGGGTCCATCTGGTGCTGTGGTCTTTCAGAGCCTCTGTAGTACTTTGTGGGTAACCCCCGGGGGGTTTGATCTCAGCCTTTTGGGCGGATTTTCCATTAGCCTGAAGACTCTTGGGGGGGCTGCCTCTCTCAGGCACAGTAGAAATAACCACTGGAGTCACCATGCATGTTCACCCGGCTTCTTAGATACCAAAGTTGTTATTCTTTCTTGGCCAGCATTGAGGAACAGTATCTTCCTCAGTTCCCAACAGCTCCCCCACTGTCATCCCCCAGCCAAGGCCATCTCTAGACAAACTGGTTTGCTGTTCCTAAGGAAACCATTGTCTAGGACCCTTAGCCTTGTGGCTTACACAGGAGGCCAGGTTAGATGCCCCAGAAGGAGGCAGGGGCTTCAGCAAAAGTTGGGACCACAGCTTCTGAGGCAGTTCTGCCGCCTTGCGCTTTGCACCATATCTTCTCTCCTTGTGCTTTCCTCTAGCCGCAGGATCGATCCCCAACCCGTAAGTGTGAGGGAATTCTGGGAAATTCCCTGGGAAAAGGTTTTGGTCCCAGGCTGCCTTCTCTTCCTCTCATCTTGCACCCAATTGTTTTTTGTTCCCTGGACACCATGGGATGGCTTTATTTCAGTTCATGCAGAAACCAGTCTGGACACTGTGGAGTCATAACAAGAGTGGGATGGAGGTTCCAGAGCCCATTACTGGCCAATCAGTTTCTTTGGAAGAAGGCTTGAGAAGGAGGAGAGAGCCATGCCCATAAAAGCCACTACTCCTCCATCTCCCCTTCCCCCAGCAATGAGCTAAGAGCCAACCTCAGCCAGAGGGAGAGGGTCTTTGATCACAGAGAGAGTTAGTCAGTGGTTTGTGATTAGTGGGTTTTTGGATGGGTTCCCAGGTAAACCAAAGGGCAGAAGGGAGCCCCTGGGGTCTGGCCAAGGGTAGGGGGTGGGATTTGGAGTTGAGGATTGGGGACTCAAGGCAGGCGGCACAAGGTGAGGGAAACAGAAAGGCTGGCTTGGCGAGCATCCTTGATAATTCAACCTGCACGCTGTCACACCAGCTCTTGTTTCTGCCTTCACTGGATCCAATGGCCAAAGTAAGTCAATCCTCAGCAGCACCTTCTGACACAATCCAGTGGCAATGTCCCTCACCTGTGGCACTCGGGGGGGGGGTGCTGGCCACTGGTTTTCACAGACCCAGCCCCCCCCCCCCCC